GATGATGGTGATGCTGGTGGTGATGCTGTTGATGGTGATGCTGGTGGTGCTGGTGGTGGTGGTGGTGGTGGTGACGCTGGTGGTGGTGATGCTGGTGGTGGTGATGATGGTGATGCTGGTGGTGGTGATGATGTGGTGATGCTAGTGATGATGCTGGTATATTTTTGTTGGGGAATGTGTGTATGTTGTGCGTGTGTATGTGTGGTGCCTGCATGTGTACAGAATTTGGATATGAAGGCTGGGATGTACACCAGCATATGAGGAGGACCCTCTCAGAGAAGCATGGGGTTAGGAATGAGGAGAGAAGAGGGGTGGGCTGCTCATCAGTGTAACACACACACAGCACCACCTTTACACACAGTAGCTGATACTCAGAAACAGTATTTTCACAGCACTTGTAAACTAGAAATAAGGTCACTATGAAGTGGTGTCTGTGGTAGAGTTCCTCACTCCCCTCCATATCACAGACATGATAGAGGCCCAGAAAAGTAGAGAGAGAATGAGAAACAAATTTAACCTGCTTCAGGGCCCTGATGTGAGAGTTTACCATGGGAGTACTAATCCCTCCCCTGAGGGAAACCCATTCAGTCCATCGTGGAAACACTGATTTCATACCATGTCAGGGCGTACCGTGTCAGGGGCTATAATAATGGACATCCTTGTACTCAGCTCCAGTCTCAGAGGATGACACTCTGATGAAATGTCTACTCTTCTGATCTTGACTTTCCCCTCTTTATGCCCTGCAGGTATGTGGAACATGCCTGTGGACAGCCGCTATGTCACATTAACTGGGACCATCACCCGAGGGAAGAAAAAGGGGCAGATGGTGGACATCCATGTCACGTTGACAGAGAAGGAGCTGCAGGAACTCACCAAGCCTAAAGTGTCTTCAAGGGAAATGGCACCTGAAGGCAGAAAGGCCTGCCAGCTGGGAGCAGACCGTGGGCCCCACGTGGTCCTCTGGACACTGGTCTGCCTGCCTGTGGTTTTCATCCTCTCCTTCGTGGTCTCTTTCTACTACGGCACCATCACCTGGTACAATATCTTTCTTGTGTACAACGAGGAGAGGACCTTCTGGCACAAGATCTCATGTTGCCCCTGCCTCATTCTCTTCTATCCAGTGCTCATCATGGCCATGGCCTCTTCCCTGGGCCTCTATGCTGCCGTGGTCCAGCTCTCATGGTCCTGGGGAGCATGGTGGCAAGCTGCCCGGGACATGGAGAAAGGCTTCTGTGGCTGGCTGTGCAGCAAGCTGGGTCTGGAAGACTGTTCTCCCTACAGCATTGTGGAGCTGCTTGAATCTGACAATATCTCAGGCAATCTGTCCAACAAGGATGCCACCCAGGAGGTAGAAACATCCACTGTCTAAACTCCCAACAACTTACTTGATTCTCTGGTCTCAGTAGCCTGTGTATCATCTTCCAATTTCAGAATATTCCTTCTTTAAATTATTCCTCCCCCGCCTTCCCCCGTACACAGTTCTTCTAGAAAATTTTAGCCCACACTGATCTGTCCTACCATCTTGTTGGTTTCCAGGAGGGCAGAAAACAGAAAAGCAATTTGTGCCCAGATAGTCCATCCAGTGGATAAACTCTTCTTCATTCCTTGCCCTAAGATGACCATTTTTCTGAGACAAGGGAGGTCAGGTGTGTGTCACTTCAGGAGCTTGGAGGTGTTCCTGGTGCCTGGAACCCAGGGAAGATGTGACTAAATGTGACAGGGAGAATAAGGAGGCTCACGGGAGACCCAAGTCCACCAATAAGATAATAGATAGGGATGGAGTGAAATATTTCAGAAGCAGGCTGTAACAGTGTAGCAGAATGTAAAGATATGTGTGTATCACTTAGATTTTGATTTATATATTAAATATAATTAAAATCCAAATATCAGTAGTTTAAACAAGATAGAAGTCTGTTTCTTTCCTGTATAGAAGAAGTCTGGAGGCAGACCATCAGGGAAATTGATGAAGTCGTCAGAATCCCAGGCTTTTTTCATTCACCAACCCTCATTGCCTTTATCCTCAGCACCCAGTGCTGACTACATCTCCAGTCATCACATCTCTGTTTCGGATAGAACAGAGGAAAGGGCAACGAAGAGCACATACACCCTCCTAGGCTAAGGCGGCTTCTCAGAAGGCCCCCTCAACACTTCTTGTATCTCATTGGCCAGACCATAGTCACATGACCTCACAAGCAAGAAAGCCTGGGAAATGTAGTCTTTTGGCCGGGCAGCTATATTCTAAATGTTTGGGTTCTGCTAATTTAAGAGACAAGGAAATAATGGCTATTTTGGTAGGCAAGTAAGAATCTCTGGCTCACAGTAATTATTTAAATACATTCAGATCCAAAACTGCGAGTACAGTTTTATTTATGTATGTATGTATTTATTTATTTAAGCCTAAATATTACACAGAGAATTTATACATAGATACTAGCTACATATACTATGCATAAACCACACGTAGATATTAGCAACTCATGTATGTTGCAATTAAATATCTATAATGCCATGTGGTTTCAGGTTTTTTAGAAAGGAAGAGTGAATAGTTGAATACAATTATATCATAGTAGCATAGCTTTCTTCCTGGTAGTGAAGGTGGGCCTGGGTGGTGATGTTTAGTTTAATGTACAGATGAAAGACTGCAAAGGGAGGCATTGCATCTGTCAGACTTTCCCCCAGCAGGGTCAGCAGCCCTAAGCACAAGAAGACAGTTAGCTTTGTGTGGTTTGTCAAAACTCACTCAGAGCCTCACTCACTCAGAACTTTCTTCTCACAGCAAACACAGTCTTTGCTGTGCTAAAAAGCTTGGGTCTTCGTGGACACTGAGGGTGTAAACCAGATGGATCCAGATTAATAGATTCTGAACTTTAAAAAAATATTCCTGAGGGTCTCTTTCCAATTTCAAAAAAATCAAATCCTAAGAGGTCAAGCAGATTTTGGAGGTTTGAGTCCTTATAAGAATAGCTGGTGCCCTATTCATGGTTCATGTCTCAGGAAGAAGCTGTTGAAAGAACTGCTGTGAATCAAACCAGATGGGTCAAGCAATGCTGTCCCACAGAAGGCCAGGACATTTGCCTGATGCATGGTGCTGTACTCCACCTTCAGAGGAAACCCCTCCTTTTTAAAAATAACTATTATTAGTTTGAGAAAAAAAAAACAACTGTGTCCAACACGTTTGAAGATAATGTTGGTGCTCTCTGGTGCTTTTACAGAGATATAAACAATTGAAATGAAGACAAAGAAAATAAAAATAAAATCAGATTAACGTTTGCTCACTTTGTCTTTGAGTTTCTCCAAAATTGCTTTGAACGCTACAGTTTTCAGAAAAGGTTGAGCGTGGTGACTATTTTATATATGTATAATGATCTCAATATGGGTCCTTATGTCTTGACTCTTCCCATAGACCACCAATTTATGAGGATTCTGTTTAGCTGGATTTTTTCCACAGATCACAGATTTACCTAAGCTTACATTAGGAAGTTGCAGCCACATTTGTCACATTTTTTGGGGGGGTTAAGGAAACAAATGGCCAAGGCGAAAAAGTCATGATAAGGACAAGGGTAAGATGTCCCTGGCAGAACGAAGGAGGGTGGGGTCAGGGTAAGGAGCATGGGATACCTAGGTGAAGTTGATGTAACCCTCACCCTAATTGGGCTCACCACCTAGTGGAAGAAATAGGCTCATAAAATAAAATCATTTCAAAAGGGCTCAGAGAGGTATGTAAAAGCCTAGACCTGAGGAAGGAAAACTTAACCAAACAGACCTAAAGCAATCTCATCCTTGCTGTCAGCAAATACCTAGAGAATTTTAGAGGAGAAATTAGAGAGTGAAATGCCATACTTGAACATTCTGTTAGCTCATAGTTACCTACTCTTCATGGTGAATATCAGGAAGGAGGACTATGCTTTCCAATTGCTCTGCAGCCATAATATTCTGAGCTTGGTAAACCATGTCTGATCCAGTATGATGATGCCAATGTTCCCAAGCCATCTTGTCCATCGACATTAGGTAGCGCCCTTCATTTCAAGTCCAAGGGGACCAAAACCCCTGTTATCCAGGATTTCTAATAAAACAAGGTTCTAAATCTTAAGAAGAACTAATTTTAGATGACTTGAAAGTTTCATTGTGTCATTGATACCAGGCCACCTAGGGCTTAAGTTTTACAGTGTTGTAAATGATTAGTGGCCAACATCAGAAATTTTACCCTCCTTGAATGTAGATTGGTGCAGCCACTATGGAGAACAATATGGAGGTTCCTCAAAAAATGAAAAATAAAAATAAAATAAAATAAAATAAAAAAACGAAAAATAGAACTACCATATGACCCAGCAATCCCACTACTGGGCATATATCCAGAGAAAACCATAATTCAAAAAGACACATGCACCCCAATGTTCATTGCAGCACTATTTACAATAGCCAGGACATGGAAGCAACCTAAATGTCCATCAGTAGAGGAATGGATAAAGAAGATGTGGTACATATATACAATGGCATCTTACTCAGCCATAAAAGGAATGAAATTGGGTCATTTGCAGAGATGTGGATGGACCTAGAGACTGTCATACAGAGTGAAGTAAGAGAAAAACAAATATATTAACGCATATATGTGTAATCTAGAAGAATGGTGTAGATGATATTTGCAAAGCAGAAATAGAGACAGACATAGAGAACAAACATGGATACCAACGAGGAAAGGGGGGGCGGTGGGAGGAATTGGGAGATTGGGATTGACACATATACACTATTGATACTATGTATAAAATAGATAACTAATGAGAACCTACTGTATAGCTCAGGGAACTCTACTCAATGCTCTGTGGTGACCTAAACGGGAAGGAAATCCAAAAAGGAGGGGATATATGTGTACACATAATGCTGATTCACTTTGCTGTATGGTAGAAACTAACACAACATTGTAAAGCAAATATATTCCAATAAAAATTAATTTAAAAAAAAGAAATTTTCCCCTCTTCGATTAATTTAATTACTAACATGAGCCTGTTGAAATACTTTCTAGGCCCAAGATGAAGCCACTCCTGCCTAGATACCACATCAGCAAACCAAAACTTAGGTCACTTTTGCATCCCTTTACATGTTCTGCTTGACCAGAAATGTAGTACAATCGTCCCTGGCATCAGTGGTGGATTGGTTCTAGGACCCCTGTGGAGACCCAAATCCACAGGGATGCTCAAGTGCCTTACATAAAATGGCAGTACAGCCAGCCCTCCATATCTGTGTTCTGCATCCTCAAATTCAATGAACCAGGGGTTGAATTTGATCTGCAGTCGGTTGAACCTGCGGCTGCCCAACCCATGCATATGGTGGGCCGACTGTATATCCAGTCAGCCAACCCCCAAACAGCAAGGCAGCTCGGGCTCTATACTTCTTTCCTTGTTCCTTCTCACTCCAAACAAGGCTGACTATGTGGCCGCAGCCAATCCGATATTTTCTATTTTTCTCTTCCTTATTCGTTATTATCTATCCTGTAAAAGCTTCCTGTCTTTGTCTCATTTTGTTGTCCTTTGAATGGAAACAGTCTGTCTCATAAAGTGTTAAATAAAATTTGTATCATTGAAATTGTCTTCTTTAATCATTTTTAACAAGCATTTTACATGTTTTTTTAATGGTATTTTAAAATCACATAGAATATGGTACATCACCACTCACATCTTTCTAGGATATAAACTTTTATTTCGTATTTGTACCACATTAAGATTTTAAACTAATTTTTCCAATTGCCCATATAAACGTTGTTACACCTCTGTCAGAACACAAAGCCTGCACATTTTTATTTTGTATAATGTTCATGAATTCATCACTTATGTAGTTCACTCTCAGAGCAATATCAAACTCAAACACACTTCAGCAACTTCAATTGTAATTTCAAAATAAAATTCTTTACTTGCTTTTGTTAACTACTCTTAAGGGATGCATATTCTACACTACAGCAAGAGTTTAAAATATCCCTATTGTTTCAGTTATCTCTTGTTGCGTAACACGTAAAACTTACTGGATTAAAATAACCGTCATTTGACTTATTTGCTGGTAATTCTGCGATTTGCGAAGAGCTTGATGACGACTGGTCTCTACTCAATGTCTCTCTAATGCTGGGACAGCCCCCTTGGGGATGCAGCACCTACTCCCAAGATGGCCTCACTTGCATTTCTGCGAAAGTGGTGCTGGCTGTCATCTGGGTGGGCCCCTGGGGCATTGGTGCTCAGTGCTGGTATCAGTTTGCTAAGGCTGCCATAACAAATACCATAGACTGGGTGGCTTAAACAACAGAAATTAATTTTCTTATATTTCTGGAGGCTGCAAGTTTGAGATCAGGGTGCCAGCACGGTTGAATTGAGCCTGAGGAGAGCTCTCCCCTTGGTTTTCAGATGGCTGCCTTCTGCATATTCATATGACCTCTTCTTTGTGCAAATGGCTGGTGGGGTTGGTGAGCGGGGAGTCAGTGCAAGCACACTAACTCTCTTTATAATGGCACTAATCCCATCATAAAGGCCCCACTCTCATGACCTCTACTAACTCTAAGTACCTCCCAGAGGCCCCATTTCCACATACCATCACATTGGGGGTTAGGGCCTCAACATATGAATTTGGAGAGGACACAAACACATAACCCCTAATAGTGCTCCTCTGTGTGGCTTCCCACGTGGCTAGGTTGGGCTTTCATAGCATGTAGTCTTACGGTAGTCAGTCTTTATATACGGTATCTGGCTCCCACTAGAGTGCAAAAACCAAATCTGCCAGGTACTCTGAAACCTTTGGTCCAAAACTGGCCCAGTGTCACTTCCACCACATTTTATTGCATTTTAAGCAGGTCCTAAAGCCAGCCCAGATTCAAGGGAAAGGGACTATATAAGGATGTGGATGCTGGGAGGCATGGCTATTGGGGGGCCATCCAAATAATGATTTTCCTTTTCTTATTTCATCCATTTCCCTCATATGCCACAGTGGCTCCCATGCACTTCTCTTTCTGTACAAAATGCCCCTTCTCCTCTACTAGCCATAGCGCATCACCTCTTATCTTTACCCTTTCCACCTAATTCCGTATCACACAAATCTAAACCGATCCTGAACTGACAGGCTGAAATGGAACCAAAAAAGTCAGAATCCTTTCGTTGTGGAGGAAGAAGGGAGTCGCCATTTACACTGTCACATTGGTAATGTTTGTCCCTCACCCTTGATTAATGGAGGCCCTTTGCCAGGAGAAGCAGTGCTTAAAGTCCATATCCATTCTCAACACCATCGCTGCCTAGCTGTCTGGAAGTGTATGATCCTAAAGACTTCTATAAGGACAGTGGAGAAATGCAAACAAGCACACGCACTAGAATTTTAAAAATTTTTCCCAGGAAACAAATCTGTATTGGAGGGTGTGTTGTGTGAGAAAGAGAGAGGGGAGGGGACAGAGAAAGTACAAGAGGAAGAGAAAAAAAGGGAAGGAAATAGAGACTGAACACAAGATAAAATCATGGGCATAAAGCATAGACATTGCCTTCACCATGGTGAGTCTCCAGTAATTCTATTTACCTGTCATATGAAAAATACTTTAAAAATAATATTTCAGCCTTAAAAGAACTCCTTGAATCGAAAACTAGATGAACCCTCTAGGCTCTGAAAGCACCATCTGAAAGTGTCTGACTCTCCTGGCTTCAGTGTGTTTATAACTTAGGGTCCCTCAAGACCCCCTCCCTCCTCATGGCCTCTCCACATCTTTCCAGCTGCAGGCCTGCTTTACCCAGGTCTGATTTTCAAGAGGGACAGAAGCTGATTGGACTTAATGTTCTAGGCTGGCAGACACTTTGCAGGTTGCCAGACCCTTCGTCCAGTCAGCTCTCAGCTTGTGGGTCATTTGGTACAGAAAAGAGCCTTTTCTCTGTAAGGTTCAACTTGGACCTGCCTCCCTCAAAGAGTCAAGGGCTACAGGCTGGACAGTTTCCTTTGAAAGGGGGTGGAGCGATTGTCGGGCACCGAAATTGATAGCTGCCATTTCTAGAACATCTCCCTAGATTCGTCTTCTGGAATTAAACCTCACTTCTTCCTTTCCAAGCTAGCGACGCTTCAGGTGTTTCATGCCTCCAGGCCTTTTTTACATCCCATCTCCTTTCCAAGGAAGAATCTTCTTTCCACTTTTGATTGCCTGGAAAACTACTTTTCCTTCAGGAGTTGGATCTAAGGTCATCGCATCTGTCGTCTTTCATTATCTTTATTTTTAGAAGAAGAAACAGAATTTTAGGGAAGTTAAGTGACTTTTTGGATTCATGCTCATATTCAGGGAAATCTAACTCCAGATAGCTGACATAAAACGCTGTAGGCATTATTCTCAGTGTGAGAAAAGGGGAATGAATCTTTCGGAGAAGTGATTCCTAACTCTAGCGATTTGGGAAGCCCGAAGACCACACAGCTCCTCAACAAGGGGAGAAACGCAGGGCATCTGCGCATGCTCAGAACGTCGACGTACAGTCTCCCCGCCCCTTCCGGCCTCAACGGAAAGCGGCTCTTCCTGCGGCCCTCCAGCTCCGCGTCCGGCGGAACTGAGCTTCGGCGCCGCAGGTTCCCGCTCGGAAGAGGCGACCAAGGCGCTTGCGGAACGTGAACATGGCGCGGTCGGGGAATAAGGTAGGAACATCTGTAGGCTTGGGCCTTGCCTGTGCCGGGGGTCCGGAATTAGGAATCATGGGATCACGGCGGTGCCAAGGAGTGAGGAAGAGAGATCCCGGTGGTGGGCTGGATCAGGAGGGCCGGGGTCGAGGGTTGCGCTGTGAGAAAAGCTGGCGATTTGGAGTCTTAAGGCGGGAATTTGAGCCTCGCGCACTCCCCACCCCCGCCGCCTACTGAGCCCTTCCATCCTCTCACTTCCTCATCCTGCTTTCCATCCCACTCCGACCTCCCCTCCGTACCTCTCTATCCCAGCCTACCCCCGACTCCATTACTTCTGAATCTGGGTTTTTTAAATCTGTGAGAATGGAAGTTAGCCACGAAACGAACCAATCCCAGAGGCTTGTAAAACTTCAGAGAAGGATTGAGTAAAATAACTTGAAATG